GGAGGAGGCCCAATCTGTGCGATCTAATCGGTCGAAGGGAGGTAATCGGCAGAAGGTGGTCTCTCAAGTAAGATGCAAATTTGCAAGCTGGTGGGAGCAGCCAACAATCCAGGAGATAGGCCCAAGATTCATAAGGACCTTGACAGGCTTGAACACTGGGCTGTATCTAGCAAAATAAAATTCAGTAGTGAGAAAAGTAAGGTTTTGCACAGGTAAAAACAACCAATATTCTATATTATGGTATAGAATAGATGGTGCCTAGTGGACAATCACTTAAATATCAGCCACAAAGATTATTAGGGGATTGGAGACTAAAATATATGAAGAACAGTTGCAGGAATTGGATGTCTAGTTTAATGAAAGGAAGGACTAGGCATGACATTGTAGCAATGTTCCAATATTGGAGAGGCTGCCGCAAACAAGGGAGTCAAACTATTTTCCAAAGCACCTGAAGGTAGGACAAGAAGTAAGGGAGAGAACTAACCTAGAAATAAGGAGAAATTTTCTGGCAGTAAGAACAATCAGTGGAACAGCTTGCCTCCAGAAGTTGTTGATGCTTCATCACTTGAGGTTTTTAAGAAGAGATTGGACAATCATTGTCTGGAATAGTATAGGTTTTCTGGTGGAGCAGTAGTTGGACTAGAAGACCTCCAAGGTCCCTTCCAACTCTGTAAATTCCATTAACTAAGATTTCACTCTATTTTCATGGTTATGACAAATTAATGGAGGAAAAGTGATGGCAGAAATAGCATATTTCACATACGGGTATTAGGAAAACAAGATTCACATCCCAAATTCAGACAGATTTTTTTCTGCAAGGCTCAACATGGGTTATAAGGACTTGATGTCCAAGTTAATATATCCTATGTGGCAGTGACCTAATTGCCTTACCTTTCAGGGGAGTCACTGCACAGCTATAGGATCTGCATACAGGCTATATTACTGGACAAACCTAAAGTTGCTACAGCAAACTTGAGCAAGGTAAGTTGACAGAGGGTCTACTCTTCTAAAAAGAAGTTGTGAGTAACATATTCAAGATCATCTGTGTAAAATTGAATATTGGAAGATTAATTGCACTGTGGTCCATGGAATGCCAAATGGATTAACCATTTTATGTCTGAGAATGGCATGTTGGATGAGACCAGTTATCAAGGAGCCCTGTGAGGCAGAATGCTTCGCATACTTTCTTGCTATAAAGGTTACGTTAAACTATCTTTGCCTTTTCTGTTTCAGTATCTTGAACTGTTGAGATCCCACCAGAATCGACCAGCCAAATGTCTCACCATTATGTGGGCCTTGGGGCAAGCTGGTTTTGCTGACCTTACAGAAGGGCTTAAAGGTGAGAACAACAGGATTTTTATGTTCATTGGGAATGTTTGCTTTTTAATGCCCTGAAATTCATGGCTGCCTTTAAAGTTTTAATATTTTTCATATGCCATTATTTTGCCACTTACATTTATGTATTATGAAAATCCTGCTTGGCTACACATTCTTAAAAGTACCTAATGTCGACTGAAATAATAAAAAGCAAAATTGATCATTCAAAAAGAGTCTGGGAATGAAACTTGGAAGAATTGCATGCTTAATTCAGAGTAAAGAAAAAAAGATTTTCAAACAAGTTAAACTTGTTTTGTAAGTAACAGCCAAAGAGCAGTATCTGATAAGGAATCTAATAAAGTTGATATGTCTCTAAAGAAGTATTGCTCATAAACATCTTCCCACACATTGAGTTTGTCATACGTTAGAATAAATGTGGCCAAGTTTTAAGTGTGCCCTAAGTTTGGCTGATTGGAGCCTCAACTCCATCAAAAATAGGTTCAAGTGCCTATGCTGAAATAGCACTATGCTCCACTTTCAGCTTTCACAGTGAAAAAAACAGGAAAAAAGTTGGTACCTCAATAACAGCTGTTTAAAGGCAGGTCAAGCAGCTTAAAACTGTAACTTTTAGAATTATGCTTGCCTATGTTCTTAGGGGAGCCTTACGCCCAGCAGGAGAAGTGGGAAGAGCAAAGTTGTTCCCGGCAAGTGATTAAGACCCTGAGAGTGGAGGTTCGTTCTCTGAGCTTGTAGGTTGGTTTCTGAACATTTCATTATAGGCTAGGTAACATCTTCAGTGGAATTTAGGGAATGTCAGTGTTGGTGATAAGACCCTCTTATGTTCAGCTTTCTTTCTTTGGCAAGTAACCTGCTGAATGTGGATGAAGCAGCTGTCTTTGGAAACAGAATGAATCTACATCTGGGAGGGAAATTACTTAGGAACATCCCACTGTTTTTCAGTGGACAGTGCTGAACTTCCTCATGGAGAAATGGAAAGTTATGAGTGCAACATATTTTCCTCCCTCCCTCCCCCCAAAAGTACTGTTATGTCCCTTCTCTTCCTAGTGTGGCTTGGCATCATGCTTCCGGTTCTGGGCATCAAATCGCTCTCTCCATATGCCATCAGTTATTTGGATCGGCTGCTGATGTGAGTTCATGTGTAATGGGGAGTGCAGTTATTAGGAAACATTTGTGCATGTTGACTTTGCTATCAGGTTTTTTTAATCCTTCCATTTACCATCAGTATCCTAAAGGGTTAGATTATAATTCATAAATCAGTTTAACTTTCCAAGAGGCTTTGCAAGTAGCAAAATAACTGAAGAACTGTTGGTCCATGTTTCCTTTCCTTTTTTTATCTCAAATACAGATTCAAAATAGTGTGTTTGAGCTTTTATCAGTTAGAGTCCACTTGTTTCATTTTCCGCCATATTTTGTCTGTTTTGTCACAGTTGAATGGTTGTCATCTCTTGCTGTATAGGGAGTTAAGTCTTACTCCTGTACTAGGGGGCTGAGACAAATTTCATAGCTAGAAGTGAATCTTTGTGATGCAAAAGGAGGGATACCAGGATACTAAAAGCTCTGATAATCCAGCTACAGATTACTAAAGCATTTCTGTATATGTGTTGTTGGGAATAATTCTGATCATGAGAGAATTTAGATGTGGAAGGAGAATTTGGAATGAGATTCACATGACACTGATAGTCAGGAATCTGAGGACAGACTAACCATGCTTTCTCTTTGGCAGGATGCATCCTAATTTGACAAAAGGGTTTGGGATGATAGGGCCCAAAGACTTCTTCCCTCTTTTGGATTTTGCATTCATGCCCAACAACTCTTTATCCTCCAGGTATGTCAGCCAAAAGGAGAATCATATGCAATCAATTCACCTCTCCTGTCTCAGAAAATATTGCCATGGGAATGCCTCTTCTATAGATGGAGGAACTTTGGGATAACAGTGGGGCAGGGACTGGAGACTGGGGCAAATAATTGCTGGGTTAGGACAACATTTGTCCTATATACAGCAGGAACAGTCATATATTGCACCAGCCAGCCATACTTGTTATATTATTTATTTAAAGAAAGTTGTTCCTTTGGTAGATAAACAGCCAAGGGAGTAGATGGTAAATGTAAGGTAGAAGTGCAAGCAAAAAGGCCACAATATTTGCACAAATGCAGCCGTAATAAGTAGTTAATAAAAGTAACAAAAAGTAAAAAGGACACCCACCCATCATTTTCTGCAGCCATATGTGTCTGTTTTTTTCCTTTTTTATAGTTTTTCCATATCAAGATGAATTATCCCCACGTCAGTTTTTGACATATAGACATTTTACATATTCTTCAGGGGTTTTTTAAATTGCATAATATATTACAAGCACAAAGGTGGAAGGAATTGTCAGGTGCCAAATAACTTACAATATATTATTGGTGATTTTATAATCCACCAAACCCAGTACTTTTTACAGTCATTTGTTTCTTTTTGCATTATTCTTACATGAACTGGAGTGCAAAAGGAAACAACAGTCACTGAGTTTGTCCTTTGGCACCTGCCTGTTTTCTTCTCCCTCCTTTTCCTGCCCTTGTTTCTCTTGCACCGGTTTGTTGACAGGTTTTTCTATGCCTTAGAGAGTGGAGCACAGTGCCCCAGCACTATTGAACACTATTTGTGTAGCCTTAAAAGAGTATTCCTGGAATTCCCCAGCTAATATGGCTGGCTAAGGGAATAATGGGAGTTGAAATCCACAGCTGTTAAAGTTGCCAAGTTTTAGAAACATTCCCTTAGAACAATGGCCATGGCAATTTTCCAACATTCCTTCATGTGAGAGAATGATAGCACCATTGTTGATCACAAAATACTTTTTGGCAGGTTGATGAAGAGGGAAGGTGCAACAAATGAAGAGTCACTATAACATCCTTAAGCCCCCGCTATCTGGTTTTTCTTCTGGGTATCCTTGGAAGATATCTGTAGTAGAAATGCACCTTTCTCATTTTGGGATATGGTTGGACTGATATAATTTCTTCTTTTTTTTTTCAGTTTACAGGAGCAGCTCCGGCAATTGTATCCCCGCCTGAAAGTGTTGGCCTTTGGTGCTAATCCTGAAACTTCCCTGCATACTTATTTCCCTTCCTTCCTCTCCAGGACCATGCCCAGTTGTCCCAGTGACATGAAGAAAGAGGTGAGGCTGGGAAGGGGACAGGATCAGAAAGAACAAATATAGTGTGGTGGGCTGCAACATTTAGCCAATAAATAATCTGCATTAAAAAGTGACGCCCAATTAATTAGGGCACAATAGCATGTTACCATGAGCCATGGTGGTGCAGTGGTTAGAATGCAGTACTGCAGACTATCTCTGCTGACTGCCGACTTCCTGCAATTTGGCAGTTCAAATCTTACTAGGCTCAAGGTTGACTCAGCCTTCCATTTTACCCATGTGGGTAAAATGAGCACCCAGATGGTTGGGGGCAATATGCTGACTCTGTAAACTTCTTAGAGGTGGCTGTAAAGCTCTGTAAAGCAGTATATAAGTCTAAGTGCTATTGCTAGTGCTATTAACCTGAAATCCTTCAGTGTTACGTCTCTTCATGCAAGGGGCAATTTTTTCCATGACAGAGTGAACCTGATAAAGAGAAAGTTTGCTGTTTCTGCAGAACCAATCCCATCAGAATTTTCTTCAGGAAATTCAGAATTGTTGACTTGATCATTTAGATCAGTGGTCTCCAACTTTTGCAACTTTAAGACCTGTGGACTTCAACTCCCAGAGTTCTTCAGCCAGCTTTAAGACTTGTGGACGTCTGGGAGTTGAAGTCCACAAGTCTTAAAGTTGCCAAGGTTGGAGACCACTGATTTAGATAATCAATTATGTTAGTTCTATTAATGTATTTTTATTAACATTTGATATCTCCCTGCTTATCAACTGTATCTGAGTAACTAGTCATAATTGTTTATAGAACCTAGTTCTGCTTGTATCTGTGGCAAATTAGGAAAGAACAAAACTAAAATAATTTGTGATTTGGTAATAGATGAAATAACTGATATGGTTTGTATGGAGGGAGCTTCTTTTGGCATGCTATCTAGCAGTGTAAATGAGCATGGAGACAATCTAATTTTAGTCCATATGAATGACATTATTTGTTCCAGAAATTTTATCAGAGTTCAGCCTTATGCAGTTTGTGAACAATGAATATACTAGGAGTGTAACTTCTATAATAGCTACTTCGCTGTTTTGCAAACTCTGAGCTAAGCTGACCAAACCAAGCTATTAAGGCAAGGTGATTTACCACTTTGAGCTAGGTTTGCCTGGTGCAGCTCATCCATGCAGTGTTAGAGTTAGCCATGATTCTAGGCCAAACACTATTGATCTTCACTCTCATGCGTGTTGCTGGTTACATACTTTTGTTCTTTAGCTGTATCTGGAATAATACTCTGCTGTTGAAACAGTCTGGAGTAACCTTATCTTGGATCACTTCTTGATAAAAGTTGGACTTACACCAGCCCTCTTTACCTGCGTAATAGTTCTTGTACGTTACCCCATTCAAATCAACTCAAGGTGGTTCAGAACAATAAAGTAACAAAAACAGCAAAATACAAAAAAGTAACCCAAACAAATACAAAAATAATTCCAAAATGATCTCAAGAGAGCAATCCAAGAGCAAAGCAAACATCACAAACAGAAGAGCACCATATGCTCTCTTGTCAGCTTCCCTAGGTAGGCCAGACCGAGAAATCAATTCCACAAGATGGCTAAAACTATTTTTCTTGAGATTGGCTACAGTAACAGAATCTTGCAAGTCTGGTGGTGTTGTACCTCCTCCCTCTTCTCATACTTCAGTGAGTTGGGGAAATGTTTTGTCTGAACTTCTTATGAACTCTTTATCTGTTTTGTTGTGACTTAAAATATTTTTCACCTGTCACCCCAGTAATAGAATAGTCCACATCATCTTCCTTACTCTATACATCTGGCTAAATGTTTTGGTTTTTTTGTCTTCCCCCCTTTTCTATTACTGATAGCAGGAGGGCAGAGAGTCCGTCTTATTCTCAACCCAAAGAGGGAGATATTTTGTCCCGTACAAGCAGTTGACCCCCAACAGGTTCACATAGATGTTGATAAGGGAGGGAGGGCTGAGTCCAGGACTATTTTAACCAGACTGTCTGAGGAGTTGACTTTTCTCCTCTCTTATCACAGTCTGGAAGGGAGGAGGCTGACTTACAGAGGAGAATCCTGACTGCAGCACAGTGTCCCCCGTTCCCATCTTTTTAAGGTTTTGAAGATGTATCTATCTTAGTTGGCCTACAATATGTAATTCATTTTTATTTTTATAGCCCATCTTTCATCTAGGAGCTCAAGATAACATGTTTCCCCTATTCCCCCCCCCACTTGCAAAATAGGTGAGGTTGGGAGATTTCCCAAATTCACCCAGCAAGCTTTCATTAGATGTGAGTGAATCTTGCTGTCCCTGCTGTTGCTCAAAATACCTTCACTACTACATCACACTGGCTTTCATTTTTAGTTGAAAAGTGTTTTATTTTAATGTAGATGTTACAGGTTTTAAAATTCATACAGGTGTTTGTCCCCTCTTTTGAAACAGAAAGAACCTCAGGGAGGTTCAAGATAAGCTTACAATATGAAGTGTTTCATTCATTCATTCATTCCGTTCAATTTCTATGGACACCAATCTCAGTCAATGACTCTTAACCTTAAATGAAGTCAAGTTGTTCCAGCCAGACTGTTTTATTTACTCAAGTAGCTTGAGAGTTCAGGGTTGTGATTCTTTAATCACAGTTCATGGGGCAAGCATCTTTTCTTGGTGTGAAGTATTTGCTGTTCTTTTCAAGCTATGACTGTTTTCTTTCACTGGTAAAATCAAATGGCTCTGTGCTTTGCTCCCTTTGTTTCCAAAGAGAGGTAGATGTATAAAAATGAGATGCTTGCAAAAATCGCAGGATGCATGCACAAACTCCATAACTGAGTTCTCCTGATTTTTTTGGATGGATGTATTTTTTGCATCCGTAAGTTCTGGGCAGGCATTGGTATGGAATTGTTAGATTTGGGAAGTAATGTTATGACTGCATTATCACTGCTGTTTGGAAAGTGCCCAGTGTCTTTAGTTCTCTGAGAATTATTCTGACTTGCCCTGTGCAGCTCCTGAACTGTTTGACCGAGTGCCTCAATCTTGATCCCCTCAGTTTCAATGTGTGGAGACAATTATACATCAAACACCTCCCACAGTCAAGGTAAGAATGAAAAAAGTGCTACTTTGATCACATGAGCAATTAAGCCATGTTGTATTTTGCATGATATAAAGCTAATTTGCCCTAATAAACAGTGGATCATCATTCACATATTCAGTGGGGAAGGAGGCAGGGAGGAGATAGGAAAATCCAGTAATCATATTCACATAATACAGTTAGATCTGATTGCTGAATGGATTAGGATAATACACTGTAATGTGAACTAATATGGTGGATTGATTTAACACTGTGCCACAAAATCAAAATTAATCAAGATAAAATCAATCAAATTGTATAGTAAGCAACTGCCAGCTATTAGCCGACTTAATCATTCCTTAAGATGCATAGCAATTTCTTCTTTTTCATATACTGTTGTGAATGGGCCTTCCCTGTTTCCATACTTTTTCTGTTCCAATATCTGAGTTTAGGAGATAGAGTTATTTAAAACACCTCACTGTTAATATTTTTACTTTGTTTTTCCAGCTTGCTCCTGAATTACTTTTTGGAGACCTGGGGCAAAGCTACAAAAAAGGTTTGTGTCTCTTCCCCCCCGCCCCCAAGGAATAGGTTTTTCATGGGAGACTAGCGTAAACAAAGTCAGAGAAGGGTAATAAATATCAGGAGAATATACGTGTGTGTGTGTGTGTGTGTGCGCACGGGCGCACACACCTGAAGGCCAGATTGATTCAATGCAAAGGAAGTTATTTTAACATACCAGGAAGTATTTGTTGAGGCACTAAAATTTAGTATGGTGTTTTATGTATGGCTAAAACAGATTAGAAAATGAAAAGATATATTCTTTGTAGTTTGTGATTGGATTGAACTGAAGGAGTTCTGTTTGTGCCCACTTGTGAATGTGACACTAAGATCAAACGAAGTGATGAATCTTGAAAGCTTTATGTAGATGAGCTTTAATGAAAATACATGTTTGTTTGTTAATTTGTTTGATAAATCTATCAAATTTATATAGCCTCCCATCTCCAAAGGCAACTCAGAGGTGCACAGCAATCAAAGACAGCAACATATATTAAAACAACAGACAAAAAATATATAAAAATAAATATTATAAAAAGCAAATAAGCTCTAGGCAAAGGGAGGATTGATTGCTCCGGTACTTTACTGGACTTTTTCTTTCCTAGGTGCGAAAATCTTTACAGGAAACAGTTCATTCATTCAGTGTCACAAATGAAGAGCTGGCTATGAAAGGATTAAGCAATGTTCAGGATGTAGCAGCTTGTACAGCTGCATGCAAGGTAATTTATTTGCTTATGGAATGGCACATGAGTTAGCAAACCTACATGGATGCTTATTTGCTTCATTCTGCTTTACAGCACTGCTTCTTTGGTTCTGTCCTTTAGAACCTGCTGCTCAAGATGAAAGCCAGTGGGTTTCGTTGGCCATGGCTGATTTTAATCCTCCTTATAGTTAGTGCTGGATTTCTGACATATGATATCAAGACTCATGGCTCCTTCCAAGGTTAGGATTTGTTTCTGGGGGCATGTGAGATGGTGCTTCTTTTTCCCCCATAATAAGGCCGAAAAAATACATGGGCTTTACTGCAATGGAAATCTTTCCTCCATTGTTTTGTTTTGTTTTGCAGCTTCTGCCTCTGTACATGTCCTTCGTTCTTCTGGGATCCTGTCTGCAACTGAGCAAGCCTGGAACAAAGTTTCCCATTTCTCTATAAAAGGATACAGGTTGGTAATACGTTTTAGGTGTTTTAGCAAAGGGAGCACTTTAAAAGAGCATCCAGAAGAGATTTGTATTGTATTCAGAACCACAGACAATTGAGAGATTATTCCAGCTGGCTGGGATTGCCTTTGAGGGCAATTTCTTTTTCAAGGCAAACCTCATTCCATCTCCCCTCTCTCCCTACAGCTGGCTAGAAGCAAATGTACCAATCTACTACTCCCAAGTGGCAACAGTGCTCGGACCCAATTTGGAGCTGGCCTGGACCAAGACAAATGAAACTGCTATCTACATCTCGGGGAAATGCTCTGCTCATTTAGCCTGGCTCAGCAACAACCTCCTTAGGCTCAGTGAATGGGTAAGAATGCTGCTGCTTTCGGCTGGACAGCCAAGCTTTTGTTAGGTAGAAGTTGGGAATTAGGAGTTTGAGAACAGGGGAGAAATGTAGAGTTGTTAATGTCCAGAAGCTCCGAGAATTTCAGAAATTAGGAAGGAAAAGTTGTGGAGACCAAACAGCAAAAGCCACATAGGAGACAAGGAGGAAGCATCAGGGGCAGCAATGAAGAGTCCATGGCCATGACTATTCCTGACAGAGAGGAGTTACAACCTTTCATGCTTCCATTCCTTTTGCAAAGGAACGTCTTGAAGGGAATGTTGGTGACTTTGCGCCCCCCTCCCCGATGGAATAATTTGCATCTTATACAGTCTTTCTCTGTTTGATGTCCCCAGAGTGATGGTCGTTGATAATATTGACTGAAAATGATGGAATTTATAGCACTTCTTGTGGACATTAGGTTGTGGTTGATTTGTATTTTGTTACACTGTTGAGGAATATTGGACACAATAACCATCTGTTGTTCGTTGCTCTATGTCATTGGTATATGAATCTAAATAATGGCCTTTGAGAGAGCTTGTTGAACAACAGGAACCTGGAACATGGTCATTTTCAAACTTATCAAGAGATGAGTATTTTAGTAGCATGTTAAGCCAGTGAGGAGCTGATTGATGAGTAGCCAATCCTGTAAACTGATCAACTGAGTATCTTTATTTCTCCATAGCTTCAGACACAGCTGCCAGATTCTGTGCTGCATGCTGTTGAATACCTCAGAGAATTACTGCTGTTCCTCATGCGAAACTGCTTTCTGCCTGCTGTGGACTATATTGCTGGGTCATTGGACGGAGCCTGGAAAATGTGGTTAGCTTTCTGCAAGTATGCATTGTCTATGTGTCTTTGGGCCCCGGGCAGAACTAAATTTAATTCACTTCGGCATGGTTAGTTGTATGTTTGCTAAAGCTAAATAGGAATACAACAATATTAAAGTTTGTATGCATATGCTGAAAGAGAACTATGAAGTTCCCCAATTAGAGGACTATCTGCTTAGTGATGCACAAGGCAGACCCTTAATCTATCCCAAAAGAAGCACTGCAATAAGGCAGTTGAGGAGAAACAGCAGATTGATTATAGCTATAATATGACGGTGACTAATGAACTCTGAATGCATTTCATGTGCTCAGGTTCATAAGTTTCTTGTTAAGAGAACTTGAACACAAAGTGTGGATTTAGTTAAATAATCTGGTACCCTGTGCATTCCCATGTTTAATTATTTGACGTATCCTAGCTTCTAAGGCTAGGAGTTTGCAAAGTTTGGAGATGTATGGGCAGGACCCCAGAAGCTGATTTTAGTTCTCTGGAATCACAATTATTAGAGGTGGCCTTCAGTTTTTCTTTGCATTATTTCCTTGTCATGAGAGGAATAAATGGTGCAAAATGAACATAAAGAAACAGATTTGCATTGTTTTCTGTCTCTGTGTCACCAATCTGTTCAACCATATGGATTATTAAAGTTGAGCTTCTGTCCTGCTAATTTATCAAGATGGTACACAGACATTCCATATTGGCTTGTAGGCACATAATCTCACTTTGTTTAGCAGAGGAGGTCAACTGATAGTCCTCCAAATGTTAAATTCTCAGTTATTAGTCCTAACTAACATTGCCCATGGTAAAAATAGTTGGGAGATGAAATCCAATGTCATCTAAAAGTCTGCAGATTACATACCCCCACCCTTCCTCGTTAAGGTAACAATTATGTTTCTTTTAATTATAGTACAGAATAGCTCTTAGAAATGAAAGATTTTCTGATTTCAGGTTTAATTAACATTGGGGTCAGTTAAAAAGGAATTACTTTTAACCATCATTAGGGCCAGTTAAAAAGAAACTGCTCCTTTTCTTGAATGGTTGGCAGTGAGCTTGAGATGTCTTCTGGCTAAGGTGGCAAAACTTAGATCACTATTAGAGAGCCAGTTTGGTCTAGTGGTTAAGGCTAAACCAGACTAAAAACCAGGAGACTGACTTTTAGTTCCATTTTAGGCATGAAACCCAACTGAGTGACTTTGGGTTAGTCATTCTCTCTCAGACCCAACTCACTTTATAGGATTGTTGTTGTAGGGAAAATAAGAGGAAGACATTAGATATGTTTACTACCTTGAATTATTTATAAAAATAATAAACGTGATTTTAAAAAAATCTTTAAAAATGCCTTAAGAAAGACTAGAGCTATTTTATCCTTTCCTCTGATCTGGATGAACCAAAACTGTGAATTATAACTGAAGAGTCAGCTGCTTATATTAAAAAAGTTACCCAAAATAGTCAATAACTGAAATAAGAGGGCCCAGATTTACTCTCTATTCTAAGGAGGGAACAAGCCTTGCTTGCTGCATTCCAGGCAGATTATGGTAGGAAGAATATTGAACTCAATTTTCCTTCAGGCAGAAGTGGATGTTCCAAGTATAAAAAGAATACGAATTATGTCAGAAGTTAAGGAAAGCACATGGTAGAAACAGAATTTAATTGCAGGAAATAGTTATTCTCAATTATCTTGACTGAATCATGCCTTCTTTTAGGAAAGGTGGTGGAACAAAATCTGGCTACTGAGAAGATGACAGGACCAAAGTGTACATTTCTGAGGGAGACTCCCCATCTCTATCTTAAAATATAGGGTTTTTGTATGCTTGCAGCAATCTAAAATACAGATTGTGGAATTCATGGAGCATCTAAATTTCACCCTACTTTCATTTAAGTCAATATCAGCAGTTATCTCAATTCTTTGAATGGCTCATGCTACATCTCTGTAGCCTCCAATCATTTTTTGTTTCTTTTTTTAGTGATGAAGGGTCCTGGACCTGCTTGAAAATTCATCTGACTAACCTCATCCAATCTTCTTGGACATACCTGCAGGATACAACTGTGGCCATTAAGGACTGGGCTGTTTCCATCATCTCTAGGCACTAGCAGTGATCCTAGGCTCAGAAGCTGAAAATGAAGTCTAGGCTACTGTTCTCTGGATGGCTAAAGCAGGATGTACCAATTTGCTTATTCTTTAGTCTGACCATCAAAACAAAGAACAGCACAACTTTGACTTGTTGCAGAAGCCCAGAGCTTCCCAGACCAGATGTCTCCAAGCTCCCAATTTGCTGTGCTGTCAGGCTTGTTCTCAGCTGAGCTCTCAGGCAGCTGTTGGCAGGCTGTTTCCTTGATATGACTGCTCCAGGCTACAATGGTAATAACAGTCTTTAAGAGAGCAAGGTGTATCCCAGCAATGGTTTTGGAAAAGCACTTCCTCTTTCAGTAATATCTCAAATAAATTGGTTCCTGGGTCAGTGACTTTCTACCACTTTATACATGGAGCTCTTCCTTTTATTCTTAGCTAAATGTGCCCCCTGAGGTTTTGAGCCAGTTGTACAGTCTGGTTCACATACTGAATGCTACCTTATTGGTTTACTTCCCATCTTTATTGGATCTGAGATGTTTCTGGTACATTTCCCAAGGTTGTACTATTACCACTTCTCAAAGCAATTAATACGTTAATTTCTTTATACCAAAAGCAAAGGCTTTTCCCCCAAAATGTGTTTGTCTTATTGTATTGTGGAACAGATAATGCAAACGGGGGTGGGTTCTTCACTTTGGAATACACATCTACTGATGTGGAGGGAGTGGGACTTCTCTTGGGAGCCACATTCCTCTGAGAATAATGTGTAACAGTCTGAAATGGATGGAACTTTAGACCTAGAAATGAACATGGGCGGGCCACTTGTTATCTTCTGACAACACTTAACTTCTTTCTTTGTGTCTCTATCCCTATTCCCAAACAAGACAGATTATTCTTGCAAGAAATCTGGACGAGGTACAGTAAATCATTCAACTGAGGTCTGAATTCTGAGGTGTATGGAGGCTGAGGGCCAGATATTCTTCACCTCCTGGTCTTAGTTGAAACAAAAAAAGAAGAAGAGATAGATAAGCTAGGTCAGTCTCCCAGCCAGCCTATGAGTGGCATTTTGTTATGCTCACTACTTCCCCAATGCTTGGTTTTGCTGTAGTCTCTTCAACAAAGTCAGTGGCTTGGAAATGCCATTTTAGTTTTGAAGCAGGATCTATCCTATACACCCTACCATGCCCTAAATATCTTGAGGAGCCATTGGCTCTCTTTCAGCTGAGAGGTTTGATATATCTGAATGTGTGAAAGTATGCAATGTGGAAATAATAGGTTAGAGATTGGTTCTTTTTGGCCTGCTGCTCCTACCTACCAGTTGGTATCTCAGCCTTTCCTGAAATGGTTATCCTCTGGATATACTGATATACAGTTCTCATTGTCTAAAACAGAGGAGCACATCTTTTTTGGTTGAAGGGCCAAAGCTTTTGAGCCCTGAGTGATGTTCAAAAAAATATTCCAGACTGGACAAAGAAATGATGCCACCAAGGCAAAGACACTGTTTGGTTTTATTTAGCTATACTTAATATGTCTGCTCACTTATTTAGTTACTTCATTATTTTTAATGTGTTTTGGGGACTAAAATCCCCAAAGTTTCTGATACCCATGAATCAATTGGTTGTATATTTCTAGTCTAAATATGTTGACTGGAGCTATAATCAAATACTGTATATCTGGAATGCACAAATAAAAAGCTGGTTGTGCATTCATACTTCAGTTGTAAAAGTGAGTCAGCTGTAAAAGTGAGTCCTGTGCAGCACATAGCTCCCTTTAGCTCAGCAAGCTTATAATGGTGGACCTGGTCATGACAATTGTGTGAGGCTCTTGTCATGTACAATAAAGGATGGTGTATTTGGTTACAATACTTGTTTTAATGTCTGTCTATGGCATCCGCCTCTTTCGAAATGTCTTATAACTCTATTTTAAGGTTTATCACTGTCTTGGCATTCTTCTGAAGAAAGGGTAAATTTTGGTATCAGTCCAGATAAAAGCTACAGGGTAAAGCACATGTGTAATTCATTTTATTTCTTCCATCCACAAGGCACAAGCAGCCAGTTACAGGAAATTTTGTTGTACTGGCTATGATCAAGCCCCATTGCAGCATGCCCTTGCCAAGGTTCATCCACATTCAAGGGGTAAAGAAAAAAGTAGACATGCATAAAGATAAACACCAGGACTCTGATAAATATAGATGGGCTCCCACAGAAACTGGATAATTAATCTGTGCAGGTCTAACCAGGAATCTTGTGTGATAGGTTCTCAGGCCTGGTCCCTATATAATGTGCATAAATTAACTGGGAGTTGACAGCAAAATGCTAGGGAGCCTTCTTCCTGCTGGATTGAAAATGATCACTCAGAGTGAGGTGCGGCAACCTAAAAAAGTTAGGTTTAATTGAAGTTAATTGCTGGCATCCATGCTATAGTTTCTATTGTGATAAGAATGAATTTTAACCTAAGAACAAATTATAGGAGTGCCAGATGTATGAGCAACTATGATTGTATGATCTCTGGTGCATCTGAAGTTACTATTTGGCCCAATGCTGGTCTAAATAGAAATTGGGCTAGAGCTTTTGCCTGGAAAAATTTGATGACAACAGGCAACAGAACTACTGAGCATATGATGAAATCACAAAATGGCTGAGGTATTCCTTGTGTAAGATGGGCAATAAAAGTTGCCTGAGTGATTCTCCTTGCTTTAAATGCAACCCCAAGGTATTTGAAGGTGCTCAATTATGTAGTTGGTGATAGTTCACCAATGGGCTGTAAGTCTTTTAGAAAAAAATAATTTTCTTGGGTTTTTTTTAAAAATAATTGATAAACTCTTCCTCTTGGCAATGTTGAACCAAAGCAGTGAATGCCCTCTTCAGACATGCCTTAAGAATAGACTATTATCTCCCCATAGCAAAATTGGGAGATGTCTTTTTGTCAATTTAGGGGCACAAATGTGTATTGTCTTGGATCAAAAATATGGAAGTTGAACTGAGTTGGAACTAGTATACAGTATTTTAAGTGGAGAACTGTCCTGCTGATCTGCAAGGAAGATCCCTCGTGCAACAATGAGCTGCAGAAAACATTTAGCAATTGTTGAGTTATTCAACTTGGACCATAATAAGCTCCACTATACTTTATCGGAAGCCATCTTGTAATTAATAAAGATGCATAAAAGTGAGTCATGGAGCAAAATACACATTTTTTCAGTTAAGTCTGAAACCAATTGGTCTACCTGATCTAAAACTAGTTTGTTCTTCCTTTAGGATGTTGTTTTGGATAATCCAGTCCTTCAACATTGTAGTTGCAGCATTTTACTAGTGATGACATGGATGCCCTTTGGCCATTATTTATTTCTCCCTTTTCTGCAGAACTATGTCAATTTACATTTTACAGGGGGAGGGGGGGAATCTCAATGCTATTCTTGCTGCAAGAGGAGAGACCTGCAGTAGCATCCATGTGCATGCGAACTCTAATATTGTGGATTTTTAGATCCTTTAGCACAAACGGCATCATGTTGCCACCACATAATGTATCACGACACTTTTCCCTTCGTAGAGTGGGTATGGCCTGCATATGGCACCCACAGGCCACCAGTTTGACACCCCTGCTTTAACAGAATAACACAATTGGAAGGTACCTTAGATGTCTTCTATTCCCCTTCTATAAGGGGACCCTATATTACCTTCTCTATATCTGTGCATTTGGCTTTTCTCGCCTAAAAACTTACTTTTCTCAGCACTAAATTGCATTTTGTTGGATAGGGCACAGTGTCCAGGTTTGTCAAGTTCCTTCTGGTTCTTGAGCCTATCTTTTAAAGTATATCTCACACACACACACCCAAGCTTGGTGGTGTCTACAAATTAGATGAGTTCTCCATCCAGCACCTCATCTAAATCATTTGGGTTAAGACCTTGAAACAGCTATGGTGAACCTTTTTTGGCTCGCGTGCCATGCGGGGGGGAGAGCACAAGGGGGGGTTGTGCGCATGTGTGCATGAGAGGTGCTCCCCCCCCATTTTTCCATGCTTTTATCGCCCTCCCCAGGCTCCAGAGGCTTTATAGGAGCCTGGGGAAAGCAAAAACAATCTCCCACCCCGGAGGCTTCCCTGAAGCCTCTGGAGGACTAAAAAGGACCCTATGAGCACATCGGTTTAAGCCCTCCGGAGGCTTCAGGGAAGCCTCCTGAAGGTCCCTGAAGCCTCCGGAGGGCTTAAACCAACCCTACGAGCAAACTGGAAGTCACTTCTGGTTTGCAGGCTCTTTTCGCCCTCCCAAGGCTCCTATAAAGCCTCTGAAGCCTGGGGAGGGCGAAAAATGGCTTTAAAAAAGGCTGAACTCAGCTGGCCAGCATGTGCATGCGTGCTGGCCAGCTGACAGGGCAACACCTCGCGTGCCCTGACAAATGGCTCCGCATGCCACCTGTGGCATACGTGCCATAGGTTCGCCATCCCGGCCTTGGAGCATGCCACTGCATGCTTCCCTCCAGGTAGATGTACCATATTTTTCAGAGTATAAGATACACCTTCTTCCCCCCAAAAAGAGAGTGAAAATCTGGGTGAGTCTTATACATTGAACACAACATTTTTGGACTCCCAAAACCCCATGCCGCACATCCCATTTTTCCTAAAAATGGATGCACAGAGGGTTTGGGAGGCCTGCAGAGTGTTCCTGGGGCTGAGGAGGGAAAAATGAGCAAAAAATGGACCAGTTTTTTCACAAAACCGGGGGTATTTTTGCCCTCCCCAGCCCCCAAGAGCACTACAGGCCTCCCAAACCCCCTCCATGCCCATTTTTTTGCAAAATAATGGGCCCACTTTTATGAAAAATGGGGTCATTTTTGGCTCGTTTTTGCCCTCACTGACCCCCAGGAACACTCTACAGGCCTCCCAAATTCTCTGCATGCCCCGTTTTTCACAAAAAATGGGGCATGCAGAGGGTTTGGGTGGCTTGCAAAATGCTCCTGGGGGCCGGGGAGGGCAAAAACTTTTTAAAAAAAATTACCTCTTCAAAATCCTGGTGCGTCTTATACTCCGGTGCATTTTATAATCTGAAAAATACGGTAGTTCTTTGAGGATTACATGTTGGGCCTGGTTGATTTGCCAGTTACAAATCTATCTGGTGGTGATGTTCCCTATCCCATATTTTTTATTTTACCAAGAAATAGGTTATGATTTACCGTGTTTCCCAAAAATGAAGACAGGGTCTTATTTTCATTTGACCCCCGAAATACATGCTTGGCCTTATTTTTGAGGTATTATAATAATTATTAATATTATTATTATTATTATTATTATTATTATTATTATTATTATTATTTAAATATTTTTTTATTTTTAAAACAAACAAAAACAAAACAACACATACAAAAAGCTTTCCTCAATTTCGTCAAGCATGTCGTTTGGTTACAAACTTTTGTGCATCAATTTTTACAATTAAAAATAAGATCAATGGTTATCCATCAAACATAACTAAATACATCATTATCATTGCGCATTATGTGTTCAGGTTACCGCTAATATTAATCATCCATAGAGTGTACAATACTTATAGTGTGGCATATTCAACTCCAGAAATAGTTTTCTATTGTTAATCCAAGTAGTTATTGAACATTTCAATTCATATATGTATCAATTATTCATTACATCATCATTAGTCCATTTAACATATAAAAATCTTTCCAGTATAACATGGTCAATACTTACAATTATACATAGCATTCAAATCATCCCACTCTTATACATTAAATACATTATTGTCCTTTATATATCATATGATCAAACACTCTATTTCATAGCAAAAAACTTCCATAACAATGACTATAACTTTCTGGTAGTACATAAATAAACAATTTCATTTCCATGTTTTTTATCTAACCATTGGTAAAACAAATCTCAAACCTTATAAAATTGCTCATCCTCCTGTTCTCTAATTTCAAATGTAAGTTTACTCATTTAGCACATTCTATTATTTTCTGAATAATTTCCTCCTATGTTGGAGGAAACGGTACACTGTCAAATGTCTTACTGAAGTACAAGTACAAAATGTCTACAGCATTTCATTGGTTCAATAATTTAGTCATTTTGTCAAAGAATGCAATGAGGCTTGTCTAGCTGATCTGTTTTTGACAAACCCATTCTGGCTTCTAGTAATTGCTTACTTCTAGGTGTTTACAAATCTGTTGCTTGGTTAACTTTTCTAGGTATTGATGTCAGACTGATTGGTCTGTATTTTCTTGGATTATCTTTTTTCCCCTTTTTGAAGATGGGAACCACATCAAACTCTTTTCCAGTTATTTGGTAGTTTCCTGGTGCTCCA